ACACACACACACACACACACACACACACACACACACACACACAGAGAGAGAGAGAGAGACGTGATCACACTTTGCACTTTCTGGTAGCCTGATTGTCTGGTTATGTGGCTCTGCAGAAATCTGTAATGAATGAGAATGAAGCGGTGAAGGAGGGATAGAGGAAGAAATCTTCTGATTAGAGACAAATGAGTGAGAGATTGATGGAGCTGTATCGGCCTCCACATGCTTCATTTATCACTAATTCAGATTGGTTGGATGGGTGAAAATGCAAGGATCGGGCCACGCCGGCACAGAACGAGAGCACTTCTATCAGGAGGGCTAATCCTTCACTAACAGACACAGCTCGACTCGTGTTTGGTAGCTGCGAAACTGCAAGTTGCGCCCCACTGAATGCCATTTGTTAGGGTGGGGTGCAAAAATATTATGTCAAATGGTCGCATTAAGTACCTGTTCTGAATGATTCGGAACCAACAGAAATGAAAAAACCTCTGCTATCAAACAAGAGGCATCATGAAGACCAGGGAACTCCCCACACAGTTCAGAGACAAAGTTGTGAAGGAGTAGACCAGGGTTGGATAATTAAAATAATATCCCAAACCTGAACATCCCCCAGACTAAATAAACCCATTATTAGGTAATGGGAAGAGTTCACCACAGCAACACTCTCAGACTGGGTTGTAAAGGAGGCCAAAGACTTTCAGCTGAGATGGGAGTATCTGTCCAACAGACCGTTATAAGCTGCATTGCAGAAAGCTAGACTTCACAGAAGAGTGGCCAGGAAAAAGCCATTTCTTATGGAATAAAAGAAAAATAAATGCAGACTGCTTAGATGTCAAATGAGATGTAAGAGACTCCCAAACAAGTGGAAGATAGTGTTGTGGTCAGACGGTATTAAAATGGAATGTTTTGAAGGACATCGTCAAGTCTGATGTACTCCTGAAAACGTGAGGTGATGGATCTGACGGCGTAGTTTCAGATGATCTTTTTCTCACGAAGTGTTCAAAGGTGAAACCGCGGGGGAGAAATCCTGATAAGTCCTCTCATTGTAGCATGTTATGATCAAAACCAGCATAGATGTCAGAGCGGATTTTTATTTTCAGCTGATAATAGAGGAGGGAGATCTGGTGTTTATGATGTTAACCACGAAGTTGAACTATTTTGTTCATTTGTCACAAACAGACCAGCAGCATTTACAACATTTGGTGCTGGAACATGGTTACAACACGTTCATTTTTCACGGTTCATGAGACAAACAGTGCTGAGCTCCCGGGAAACCCCTCCCACTTCTGCACACGTCACAGAAAGGATTTCATCCCGTCGGGGTCACCACTCCATTCCTGCATCTGCTGTCTGGACCCAAATCTGTCGCAGATAGAGCACCACACTTTTCAGCAGACAAACTTCTCCATGCACATTGTGTTGTTTTTTTGGCCATTTTACTAAGAGTCATACAGATGGATGTACTTTCTGAAATGCTCCTCAAAACTATTTATGTTACTTGCTCAAATCCCACTACCGAAAAAGTTTGACCGATGAAGATATTCCATAAAATAAAATGATGCAGTTTTCGTCACGTCAATTCAATAAGAGATGATTCTGCAGGTTTGGATGGAGTACGCAGGGACCCTTAAATCAGGCTTGTTTTTTTCTTTGATTTTCTCATTATGTTGAGAATGCCAAACATACAATGCACAGATGTTGCAGCAGCACTGTATGGGAACGGTTTTCTTCAGCAGGAAGTGGGAAAGGAAGGAAAGATGGATAGTCCAAAACACGGTCAGGTTTTTCCAGAGATGTACGTAAGGCTGCAACAGAGCTCCATCTTCCAGCAGGACAATGACCCTGAACACACAGCTGCAACAACACTCCAGTGATTTAAAGAGAAACAGTTAAATGTGCTGGAGGACTGTAGGATTTTTTTCAAGTCTTTTAGCCGAAATTGAGATAATCACTAATGGCATTAATAAAAAAAACATGTCTAATCATTGCAGACAAAGACCTTGTTTTATTATTTTTACCTTATAAAAAGCTGTTTATGTCTCCATGGTCGCGGGTCGCCACTACAGGCAGCCGCCATCTTGCACCGCCATCTTGTCTACGAAGGCTCATGAAGGACAAACTGCGGTGGCAGTGTCAAAAACGGTTTGTTGTAATACTATAAATGTAATATTTGTTGTCTGTCATTGTAGCTGGGATAATTTTACTTATTAAAGCTCATAATCTTACCACTTGAAACATCACTAGCCCTGAAGCTGCTGGTAGACATCGCGGTTGGAATTATCAAAGGTTTTTGACACCTGAGAGACACCGTAGAAACTCCTTTGCGTTTGGAAGCGGGGGTGGGGGTGGGGGGAGGACCAGGGAGGATGATTCAATCACTCAACCACTAGATGTCGCTGAAAACAACAAATCCTACACACTGTGCTTTTAAAGATTACTGCACACAAGTGGCACCCATCCAACCTGCAGGAGCTGCAGCTAAGTTCATAAAAGACAGACCTACAGAGACTTACTGTTCTAACTGCTGTAAAAAGTTGGATCTAGGACTTTGTGGGGGTGAACACACACACACACACACGCATACACACACATACACACACACACACACACACACACACACATACATACACACGCATACACACACAAACACCACTTTTAAGTTTGTTTTGGAATGATTAAAAAAGTTTTGTTCTCCCCATTTAATGTAATTAATTTGGAGTATCTTGTTTAGATCCACTAATTATAACAAATTTAAGTTGTAAAACAACAAAATCAAAAGGATATCAAAGAGTTGAATACTTTTGCAATACATGGTAATTTTTTTTAGACAATCAGATAACCGCTACATCAAAATACCTTCAGTCGCCCTGTTTGGTTTGTGAGGAAGCCAAGACATTCCTGTAACGTGTTTCACACTTTATTTATAGAAAAGCACTGAGATTTCAACACAAATCAATATAAAATGGTAGTAGCGTTACATAAATAGTCATAAATTCTTGCTTTATAGACAGTAGCTCAGAAAGTCGCACAAAAAACAAAAAACAAAATAAAACAAATTTTTTTAAACAAAATAATGTTGATGATAAGCTAAGATACTTCTGTGGCAACAAATACTGGAAATACCTTTTCAAAATCAGTAGCACAAAGAGGCAACAAACACTTTCAATTTTCCCTTAAGAAGGAAATGGAAACCAAAAAAACCTAACAGGAAAACAGTAGGTGAACTATGTCTCTACCAGCAAATAGTAATCTCCTACAAATAAAAAAACAAACAAAAACCCTGCGGAAAAAGGAGAACAACCTCAGGAAATCAGCCGATTTAATCAACACACAGGGAAGAGCTTCTGGGTGTAACGCTGTCGAGTGAAAGCATCACACGAAGGCAGCTGATGCTGCGATCGGTAAAGTAACGGTACTTTTCTTTTAATGGCATTAACTTGTAACTTTACGATGCATCTTTTTTGGAAAAAAAAGCAGGTAGTGAGGATACAAGACAGATGCGGCGCACTCATCTCACTGTGCTTTAAGACAACAAAAGAAGAAGCTGCACCTAAACACATCATGATGCACGGCTTCAATCCACGACTGTCCCTGTGTGAGGCAAACAAACGTCAGACTGGGAAAAAAAGTATCTGTCAGAAATTAGAAGCTCCTAAAGGAATGAACAGGCCGTCTCTTTTGTTCGCACTCCAACACCGCTGAGAAGACACTAAAGGCTTGGGTCCTGATTTAAAAAAATGAAATTAAATTAAAAATAAAAGGAAACACAGAAATAAAGCTAAAAAAAAATCAACTTTGTACATTGATCGGTCAGAAAGGCATTTTTTTTTTCAACCACCGTTTTGTGTTTCACCTCCTCTAGAAGTTGCAGCAGGTGCAAGGCGCTGCGACTGAACATCGTCCCAACATCCGTCCCTTCTTCCTGGTTTCAATAGTGGTTCACACCCCACCATGTCTGGTCCCCCACAAAAAAATAAAATAATAAAATAAGTTTGTCAGARGGGACAAGACCATCGAAGTGGTTCTGCATAGTCAGGTTTTAGTACAAATCTGTTTACAAAGGAATGCCTCCCTCATCCCCCCCCCTCCCCCCAATGTCTCATTTTGGAAAACAGATTTCCTTTTTTTTTTTTCGCAAATGACAACACATTAGCAAAAAAGAAATATGAAAAATAAAACATCAAACGTAAAAGAAATGTACACAGGAGCACCTGAGAAATGCCTTGAAGTCTTTGCTCTTACAAAAAAAAAAAAAAAAAAGTCAAAATTCCCCGTTCAAAACAGTATTCAAGTACACCCCCGGCCAATAAAACAAAACAAAGAAAAAAACAAACAAATATGTAACATACTTATCATAAATAATTATAACTTTACAATTTTCTGAATTGACACTTTCATATTTACAATATTTTAAATGCTTAATGCTACTATTTTTTTTGTTGTTTCTTTAAGTGATGTCCCTGAGAACTGAGTTTAGCCTCTTTTCTCTCTTTTGCTCAGTTTTCCTTCCCCCACCCATTTATTTGTCTTTCTGCATGTCTTCAAATACAAAATAAAAAGGATCAGAGTTATGACTGACGACCCACGTAGGGAGTAAAAGGTATCTCTCATGGAATGTAGAGGCAGATCAGAAAATGTGTTTTTTTTCCTGCTTAAATGCCCCCCTTGCGTTTTTCTTTTCTTTTTTCATGTACGTCTGCGATTTCAACTCAGCCACACAAAGTTTCCAAACAATCAATAAATAAATGCAGAAGCAGGCAGGAACGTACTGAAGAGGTATTCGTGTGAAGTGCTTGTACATTTAGTCTAATCAATTCAAAGATTGCCACTGAAATGACAATATGCCAACAGATAAAGAAACGAAACATGGATGCACCTTGTGAAAAAAGAAATTCACTTCCTGTGTCAAGGCATGTGGTCTGAAATACAACGAAGTCAAGTTCTTAAAAATGCTAATTCTTTTTTTGTCCCTCTTTGCCAGTGGATCATATATTTCTGATTCTTTGAGTAAGACAAGGCCGCTCTTCTTCACAGTTGAAAATAATAACAACCAGAAACTTTCACAGCAAACTTCACATCCTTTTCCATCACAAGACCAAGAAACTACAGATTATAAACTAAACTCGCCTAATTTGGATTTAGATAAGATCTGGGTAATGTTGTGGACTGCACACTCATTTTTTTTTAAAATACCAATTATTTTGCCCAGTAGGGGGCAGCAGAGTTAGCTTAAAACTCAACACTGTCATAACGTTATAGAGTTAGCAAAAGATGCTAACTTTTTTTTTTTTTACCAAATACACACTTTTTCTTAAAATAACGAAAAATAAAATTTATTATGTCATTTTGGGCACTTGTTCGCAGCATAACGTTGCAGTGGRGCTTTAGCTAATGTAGGGAGGTTTAGCACAAAGATGCTAATTTTTTCATTGACGAGACATGGAGCATTATTAGCATCAGATTAGTGAAGTTTTACTGGCTTCACATAACGTTTTCTCTATGTTTGTATTCCAAACCATCAAATCTTCCTATGAAAATGTATTTGAGTGTTTACTGAACTAGCTGTTAATTCTGTACAGCTAATGGGAATGACAAGGCAATTTTTTTAGCTGTACATGAAGTCATCGATATAAAACAATACAGATTATTCAGCTGTATGTGCCATATTGCTATAAATGCAAAATATGAATAAATTCAATGAATTTTTTTAAAGGTAAATCCAATAAATACTTTTGATGACATTTATATTTTGTAGCATCACTTATTTATGTTGTAACWGGTAAAACTTGCACAATATGCTGGCCAGTATTTGAACAAATAGAACTTGTTTGACAAGTCTGAAACAAAAGTTTGAAACTAGAGAAATTAGCGATACAATTTACTGTACTAATAAGTTTGTAGTTTCATTAAAATAATTGGAAATAATTTTTGTTTTTTTCTGTCATAGGCTCTTGTGATGGGAAAGGGGTTTCAGTGACGGGCAGAATGAACACCCAGTAGATTCTGAAAAGGTCCAAATAGTTTTCAAAGCTTCGTAATTAAACACAAGATCACGAACGTGAAGCTGCTAAGTGATTTAAGAAAAAAAATCTTGATTTTTGTGAGTAGAACACGACCACAGACATTTTGCACATTTTAAATTATCAACCGTGAACAGCTGAGCAGCTGTGAAGTGGTTTCTCTGAACACAGGAACTCCTCCAAAATCATCGACTACGACAGTAATTTTGTGTCTGTCGATACGTTTTTAGGAGGACATAAAAACATATTGTGTACAGGAATATGACGATGTGCACATGAAGGCTCAGCTGTTAGCTAGAGCAGCCAGAATGTCACTGTCAGGCATTCAGAAACATGCATCCTGTAAAGCATTGTAGGCTTTTCACTTGAGATCTTTCTAGGAGAGCAACCAAGAAAAGGTTTTTCACTTCTTCAACAGAGACTTAACGTAGCTCTGTCCTCTAACCTCTCTCTTCTAAGAAGCCCTGAATCAAACAAGAGGCTATTTCTGCCAGATAAGTTAAAGCTGACATGTGACAGTCAAGGTACGACAGTAACACTGCATGAGTTTTGAACCGCTCTGTTTTCCCACACACACTTTTTCTCTCCGCTTTGGAAGCCACTTCTTCTTCTTAACCACGGCTGAAAGTATCCTTCGGTTCAAAGTACACACCCCATCCAGGAGGATCATTTGGTATTCATATTGTCATAAGCCACTCAAAAAAAGCAAACGTTTCTTTTGCTTTTGTCATCACATTCTTAAACTAAATTTAACAATTAGAGGGGTAGACGCCTTTCGTTTCTTGTTGGTTCTTAGTTTAAGTAGAGTGATGTACTGCGAACACTTCCTGGTTCACATTCGAGAAACAAACAGAATAAAACCGTAAGACTTAGTCAACAAATGGCTCAACAAAAGAAGTAAAAAATACAAATAATCCAAAGAGCCTTAAATAGAAACAAATAAGTTGAAATACTTCAAAAACAAAAACGGGGGTCTCTGTGAGGCAGGAGTGAAGGTCAGCCGAAGCGCTCCCTGACCAACATCATCAGTTTTTTCTTGCCCTTATAGATCTGCTTCAGGTTGTCTATAAACTGGGCGAACTGAATGTGGCCGTCCTGCGCCAACAGGAACGTCTCCCGCGCTTTGCTCAGGAACTCTATGAACTCCCCGTAGTGCCGCGGGCTGATGTGCGTCAGCCGAGAGTGCGTGGTGTTGATGTACGCCGAGATCGTGGCGTCCAGGAGCTGCCGCAGCGGCGCCTTGTCCGTCGACATCAGCTTCCCGGAGTTCCGCCGCCCGGGGATGCCGGCGAGGCCCGGCGCCGTCATGGTGCACCGCCGCAAGATGTCGGACAGCACGGTGGCGCAGTGCACGCTCTTCACCACCAGGGGGATGATGGCCGCCAGCTCGTTCTTCCCCAGCGAGTGGCTGAGCGCGCAGGCCCACAGCACGTCGTTGATGGCGGGGTGCGTGTCCTGGTTGTACGCCAGGTTGAGGTGCGTCATGGCCAGGGAGGCCAGCTTGAACGACCGCAGGGGGTACCCCCGGTGCTCCATGTAGCGCGCGATGGTGAACAGCTGCGAGTAGGTCATGCCCGTTGACGCCGCGTCTATTACGATCTGGTAGGCCGTCTCGAAGGCGATGTGGTCCTTCTCGCAGAGCGTCAGGGCCGACAGGGCGCAGTTCTGGGGGTCCTTCATGGCGCACTGCAGGGCCAGAGTCCTGGCGCAGCCAGCCAGCTCCTCCCGCTGGGGGTAGTCGAGGCTGAGGCGCAGGATGGTGTTGTGGGACATGACGGTGGCTGCGACGATGCTGGTGGCCTCCGTCGGCGTGAAGAGCGTGTACCAGCTCTGCAAGATGCTCACCAACGCCCGCAGACCTGGAAAGGCAGACAGGAGACGCTTAAGGTCCGTCGTGCTCGGAGCAAGTTATAATAGTTTAGGAMTTTTCATTATAGTTTAGTTTTATTTCGTT